TTTTTTTTATTATATTTTTGTTTTTGTGACAAATATTAAGACATTTCATAAAAATTAAGAATATATCAAAATGACTTTGACATTTCAAACCGGAAGTTGCTTATATCTCGAGTAATATTGGAATTAAACGTATCATGTTTGGACTCATTTTAAAGGATTTTTCACGACGATTACAAATATGTCAAAATTGACGTTGACATTCTTAACCGGAAGTTGACCATAACTTCATTAACATAGAAGATAAATATGTCGAGTTTGTTCTCATTTTAAAAGATTTTTAATGAAGATTACAAATATGTCAAAATTAAGGTTGACATTTTAAACCTGAAGTTAGTTATCATATAATAGAAGTTGTATAAGTGAAGTTAATCTAGTGTTAGTCACTGTTCAGCACTTTTTTTTTTATTTTTAACGTGTTTTTTGGATCATTTCGCATTAATTAAAGAAAAACCGTCGATTTTTAAGCCACATAATATTTCTTTTGTTAAAAGAGAGCGATCTTAAACTTTAACCTGTAAACTTGTAACACTTCGTCCTTAATTTCATTTTACAACTTTTTAAACTTTAATTTTCTAAATTAGTAACTAATAATCCGATTGTGGCTTTGATATGTGATCTTCTTTACCAAAAGAAAAAGAAATATTAAGAAACTTGTTTGTAAAATGGATAGGATGAGGGATGTTAATCTATTTGTAGAGTCTCTGAAGATGGCCAAGGTCCGAAACTAGTTAGACTTAAATTCTATATAAAAATTCTAGATAATTTTATCAAAAATTTTTACACGAAACATCATTTTGACTCTAGTATTTGTGATTAAATTTCTGCCACGACTTACAGAAACAGCCTGTATAATTGTAAAACGACTGATCAAGCGGATTCTGTGCTTGTGATGGCTGTCATCAGTGTTCTGTGATAAAAATAGATAGGCACAATTTTCAATAGTTTGAGCCTATCTATTCTGAGAAGTCATATTTTTAGAGAGATGAAAACGAAAATCCCGTTTTTCTCAACATTGTTCATTTGTCGCTTAGTCAAGTAATGCATAACGCGGTCCAACTAACAATAAGCCTATCTGGACTTATGGGATTCAGCTGTAAGGTTGTACTAAGCCACCCAATCAATTGATCATCCAACGTAGTCAAAACATATTTCTTAGACTGATTACCAATGCTTATCGTTATGTATCCAATCAAGAACTGCATGAAGATCTCCAAATCAAATGGGTCTACGAAGTAATCCAAGATTTTGTAGCGAAGTAGAAAAATAGACACTCTACTCATGGACAACGCCCAGGAATTCGGAAGATTGAAGAGAATTAAGCCTCAAGAACTTTTATAGTGTCATAACTAAACATATTAATTAAGATTTTACTAAACAGTACGTGTCCCAAATCTTCCACCATGGCGCCCGAGAAACCACTGTTGTACAGAATTACCAGAAGCCTCGAAAGTACCAAGAAAGAAGTTTGGTTTTAATTAGACGAGTGATGGCAGTTAAAGAATAGTCTAGGAAAATTATGTCATTTAACCCTGTTTCGAAAAATTATTGTTATTGATAGTTGATGTATCATGTGCCCAACGATTTCAGTGGATGTTTAATTATATTTTTGCAGCAGCTCTCCCAAAGAAAGTTTCGGATGATTAACTCCTACTACCAAAATTTCAAAACTATAGAAATAGTGGAACCTAAAAAAGTTCTAAAGAACCAGTTACGTAGGACATGCTGTATACAAATACCTTTTTATTATGCTTTAATTCAGGGTCAGGATTTATCGAATAAGTAAGATACATCAATAATTCACAAAATGTTGTTAATCTTAGCTATTCATATAATTCTACCTTCTTCTTCACTTATTGTGGAATTCACAACAATTCACGTTAATTATCACTATTTAGACACAGAAAATAACACGTTTTTATTAACCTTCCACAAATACCATGAAATAAACTACCCATTTATATTGGGTGTAATAAAAATGTAAAAGAAAAAAGTATAAAAAAATAAAATACGTAAATTAATAAATACTTATATATATATTTTTAGTATCCAGCTTACCTAAAAGGTCAATAGTTCGCTCATCTTTCAATCGGGCAAATCCCAAAATGACGTGAGTGCAGAGATCCGCATTCAAATCATTGATATGAAAAGAACCTCTTCCGAGTCGTTTCGAACAATCGGTGCCGATGTAACACACGATTTTTTTAGTGGCAACACTTTCAGATGCGGTAATATTATGAAAAATACAATTACTTAAAAATAAGAATATTAAAAATTTACGATGACCAATAAGCATATCGACATGTTACTGATTTGATGGGAAACGTTTATTATACTGCAAATATGTGTTTTGTAAAACTCAGTGATAATAATGAGCACGTAAAAAATGCGGAGAGCCATTTCAAACCGGGATTGTTAAATAATACGATAAGATTCTCTATATCGTTTATCAAAAGTAACGCCCTTAGGAATTTTTTTAAATTTTCCAAGTAATAAAGCGGCATTTTGTTACTCTTTGTAGTATAAATCAGTATTTTATTTTGCGATGGTTATAAAATGAAAGTTGGAATGATTTTACAATAAAAAAATACAGAATACAAATAATATTTGCCATTACAAGGACCTCATCGGCAATTACATCCATGAATTATTTTGTCTGGGGTATATCAAACCCCAGATCAACATGGCTTTAATATGGAAAAAATATTAAGACTTGATAAATATGTTGATCAAATGGCCAACGAGCTGGTCCACCTCGACCAATTTCACATTGCTCGAATGTTCCAGTTAATATTCCCTTAAGGTTTAAGGTTCCCTTAAGGTTACATTGGTTTAATGACTTACCATCATGAAATAAACTCTTTTTTTTAAAGTTCTGAAGTTAATAATAATAATAATCCTTACCATCTAAACGAGGAGGCATGATGTAAGACCTTATGAAGTAGTCATCAAAACCAGACTAGACTTAGAAAGGCAGTTAAAACAGCTCGTTAATTTGCTTTGGCTAAATCAATAACATCAGTCACATCAACTACACTATTCAGTTATACCGTTCTGTCATAATTCTGTACCCTGGTCAATCTTGTCGACATTCTTTCTAGGATCTGTATTATTTCAAACTTGTGTTGAAATATTTCTATCATATTGCCGCCTTCTCTCTAGTTTTTAGACATTTTTAAATACATTTTTAGCATTATTTTGCCTTATTTCTATAAGAGTCACTATTTTGGGCCTCCTTTACTTCAAAATAATTCATCTTCTATTTGAGAACTTTTTGTATCTTTCTGCCTTATTTCTAATTTATTTCTGATATCCTATAGCATTCTACTTTCACTTTGCAATCTTTTGAACATCTTCTTTTCTTGAACATTTTTATTAATTCACCTTCTTATCGTCGCACAAATACATCTTTAAATTTTTATCTTTTTTCCATTTTTTCTAATAACTTATTATATTCATTATTTTGGTTGTGCTATCTTTTTGACATCATTCTACATTTTATGCAGAAAAACAAAACCTTCTCTTAAAATTATAACTTAGTATAATCTTTCCTCATAACTTATAAATTCCACAACACTTATTAGTGTTAACGCAGTCTTGGCAGAAATTTGATTCTATACAGACTTAACTTGGTAGAAGCATTGCGATTATTTAATGTGGAGATAATAAGAATTAGACTTTTTAATGAGCTATTTTAATACAAATTTGTTATAGACATAATAATTATTTATATAACACTTCAAGGAGGAATAAATTGAGAACGTATCTATCATGTCATAAGGTATATTAAGGATTTAATTCAAATTCTAAAGGCGTGATACACTTAATAAAGATTGAATAGACAGTTCATGCATCCATGAATAAGTATAGATGCAGACCAGATGAAGATATTACACAATGTTGATGGAACCTAAATGGAAAATTAATTTTGTGAAGATATAGCTTAGTACAAACATGGCAAAAAACTGGATAGAGAGATAATGTAACCTTTTTACTAATTTATTTCAATACAAATTTGATGCAAGCATGATATAGATTTAAATTATCTATCAAGTGATAAGGCATAGTACAGATTTAATGTAATCTTCAAAGATTTGCTGCAGACTTAAAAACGATCGAACGAAGATTTTATGATCTTTGAATAAGTCTTCATTCATTCCTAAATGAAATTGATACAGACTGGATGGAGATTTAATGATGGTATTTTCTTTTTTATATGTTAGTTATTGCCTTAGTCTTTTTAGACACAAATAATTAGTCATGAAATATGCTTTATCGCTGAGAATTCCCAAAAAGACCCTTGGATATGTTTGCATGTTGAAAAAAAGTTGCAACTTTTTACGTTTTGAAACTTTTTTTAACTGTTTAACTTTTTAAGACGTTTTACTAGTGTTATAAAAGTTTTTGAAGGATCTTCAAATCTGTAGTGTATCTCACATTTAAATTTAACTTGACTTATATTGGACTTATGGTTGGTAAATTTCTTGAATAACATCTTTTTTTGTTCAACCTTATCCTTCAACCTTTTTAAAGGTATCAAGGGGTTGTAGATCAAAACAAAATGTTACAGTACCTTCTTCTTCCTCCTTCATCATTAAGTGAAACTGCCTAGCTCTTACTCTATCTACTTTGAGATCGCTCAATGATTTGTTTTTAGCAGCATTTTGTTTTTCCACCATTCATATTTTTTGCAATCCATAAGATTCTACGATAGGGCACCTTCAGAAGTTTTTCAAAAAAAGTTCTACGGACCGAAAACGCTTATCTGTTTGTGCAGATCTACAAGATTAGAAACGTTAAACAAACTAGTGTATAGGCATAACAAGATAATTTTTTACTTTGTATCTTATTTGAAAGTGGTGAGGTTTCTTGGTAATGGAGTTTTTGCGTTCACGATGTCTCTTTGGGTATCCTGATGTTTTGGAATATCATTACATTAAAAATTCTTGTTATTGGGATATACACACTTTTTGTCAATCCACCTTTCTAAGTGTAGATCTTTTGGTTCGTAGCTTAAATGAAATCCACAATCAAAACGTACGAAAATGGGTTAGCAGTAGGATTTACTTTGCNAAGATATAGCTTAGTACAAACATGGCAAAAAACTGGATAGAGAGATAATGTAAACTTTTTACTAATTTATTTCAATACAAATTTGATGCAAGCATGATATAGATTTAAATTATCTATCAAGTGATAAGGCATAGTACAGATTTAATGTAATCTTCAAAGATTTGCTGCAGACTTAAAAACGATCGAACGAAGATTTTATGATCTTTGAATAAGTCTTCATTCATTCCTAAATGAAATTGATACAGACTGGATGGAGATTTAATGATGGTATTTTCTTTTTTATATGTTAGTTATTGCCTTAGTCTTTTTAGACACAAATAATTAGTCATGAAATATGCTTTATCGCTGAGAATTCCCAAAAAGACCCTTGGATATGTTTGCATGTTGAAAAAAAGTTGCAACTTTTTACGTTTTGAAAGATAACGTGATCCCCAAAACGTTTCTTTAGTAGAGCATCCACGGCCTTTCCTTTATCCTGCAAAATTCCTCTTACAGAATCCAGTAATGGTAACTCGACAGCGTTTATCTTTTTAAGACGTTTTACTAGTGTTATAAAAGATTTTTGAAGGATCTTCAAATCTGTAGTGCATCTCACATTTAAATTTAACTTGACTTGTAATGGACTTATGGTTCGTCAATTTCTTGAATAACATCTTTTTTTGTTCAACCTTATCCTTCAACTTTTTTAAGGGTATCAAGGGGTTGTAGATCAAAACAAAATGATACAATACCTTCTTCTTCCTCCTTCATCATTAAGTAAAACTACCTAACTCTTACTATGTACTTTGAGATCGCTCAAGGATTTGTTTTCAGCAGCATTTTATTTTCCCACCATTCATATTTTTTGCAATACATAAGATTTTACGATAGGGCACCTCCAGAAGTTTTTCAAAAAAAGTTCAACGGACCGAACGCTTATCTGTTTGTGCAGATCTACAAGATTAGAAATGTTAAACAAACTAGTGTATAGGCATAACAAGATAACTTTTTACTTTGTATCTTATTTGAAAGTGGTGAGGTTTCTTGGTAATGGAGTTTTTGCGTTCACGATGTCTCTTTGGGTATCCTGATGTTTTGGAATATCATTACATTAAAAATTCTTGTTATTGGGATGTACATACTTTTTGTCAATCCACCTTTCTAAGTGTAGATCTTATGGTTCGTAGCTTACATGAAATCCACAATCAAAACGTACAAAAATGGGTTAGCAGTAAGATTTGCTTTGCTTTCTTCTTTTCTAACCTCGCTTTTAATTTAATACGTTGCTGTTTTCTACTGCCGCTATCTCTTACTCATATTTCTCTCACTAATATTCCATCCATTATTGTAACACAGATCGATGTCCCTTATGAACCAATTCGTCGTCCTATCACTGGTTTTCTCGAATTTCAAGCCCCTACAATCGCCTGGAGGAGACGGAATTCTGCCTATCTTTCTGCAAAAAGGCTTAGAAGACCTTCTCCCAATAATAATATCCCTATATATAGCTAGCTGCAGCTTTAGCTATATACCCACTCTATGAAGGAAAGTAAAGGTGGTCTTCATACCTATAGGCGTTCAAACGCGGACCCCAAGGCGTACAGACCAATTAGCCTAACTTCATTTCTCCTCAAAGGGATGGAAAAGGTAATCGATCAATACCAAAGGAATGGAGTGCTTGTCACAAATCCACTCCACCCTAGCCAACATGCTTACCAGAAAGCAAAATCAACAATTACCGCTCTCCATGCTTTGACTAGCACCTTAGAGGAGGCAATTGCAACCAAAGAGATAGCCCTTTGTGCTTTCATAGATATAGAGGGTGCGTTTGATAACACCTCATATGAATCCATAGAGAAGGCTCTAAACGTAAAAGACATACATCCGTCGACAATCAAGTGGTGTATAGCCATGTTGAAAAGTCGGCAGATCACAGCCAGTCTGGGAGGCGAGTCGCTGACTATAAAGGCGCTAAGAGGATGTCCCCAAGGGGGAGTGCTATCACCTCTATTATGGTGCCTGGTAGTTGATGACTTGATGAACACCCTAACTAAAAACGGATTTAAGATACAAGGGTATGCTGATGACCTGGTAATCACAATCCGAGGTAAATATGATTCAATCATAACTCAGCTAATGCAGAAAGCCCTACTACTCACCAGTACTTGGTGCAGNTGAGGTATATTTATGGTATTAGAAAATTTGATAGAGTTACTCATAAGCTAAAAGATATAAAATGGTTGTCAATGAAACAAAGAAGAGACCTTCATAGCTTATGTCTCTTCCATAAAATTATAATCTCATGTAAGCCAGAATATCTGTATAAAAAAATTAAGTTCAAACCGGCAACAAACCCATATGTTACGAGATTAAGCAATCCTATATATCCACCAAAACATCGAACGTCTCTATTTGAAAGAAGCTTCAGCTATCACATTTACAAATCTTATAGTAAATTGTCAAGTGATATGCGAACTCTGAGCTTATGCACATTCAAAAAGTGTTTGATGCGACTGTGGTTTCAGCAGCAAGGGGGAGAATAATATCTGATGCTGGGATATTTACCGTTGGCAGGTTGGAGTTTGTGAAGGCAGTATAAATTTGTTTTTTTTTTTGCTTTAATTGTTGAAGTATCTTATAATTCATATCATATGTTCTTTTTTCTTTTATTTTCTTTCTCATGTTTTTTTTTTCGGTTAATTTTTATTTTTTTCTTTGCAACCAACTGGGTTGGTATGAGCAGACTTTGTCTGGAACCCGCCCATTGTGTTCCTTCTTTAATTTATATTATGAAACAGAATGTTATTTGTATTCCGTGGAAGGCACAATAAAGATATATTATTATTATTATTATTATCTTACAGGTCGCGGTAACGAGAGGGGCCGCTCTCCTCAGCCCGGCAGCAATAATAATAATAATCACTGGTTTGATTAAAAACAACACAAATTGTCAAGCACATGAACTCTGCTGTAACTTCAACCGGTGCTCATATTATATGGGCAAGTTGCAGTTTGATTCAGTAAATACTGTTGACATGTTACGTTTTGAAACTAACATTAATTTGTTAGTTGCATTATAATAAATCTATCAAGTCAGAAGCATAATTGAATTTTGATGCAGACTTTAAAAATCTTAATATAGATTTAATAGGAACAGACAATTTTTTGCAAACTCAATAAAAATATGATGCAGTCTTAATGCAATAATATGATATCATCTCTTAATCAAAAGCCTCGATTCTGTAGACACTGGAGCTGACACAAACAATATGAGGGGAAGATTATAATGTAGAAATTAACACCAATTATACAATATCGATCTACATAATAGCTTACTAAAGTTTCACTGGCCACCGATGTTTCTGTCAATGTTTATTCAGCGCTTATGGAATTAATTAGGTTGGAATTAATCTGCAGTTTCAATCCTTATTTCGACGACGTCTAAGAATTGAAGCAGTTATAGCTGAATGATGATTCCCAATGGAAATTGAGAACTAAGTTGAAACATTTAATACACTCTCTATTTTGAGATTATTTTATAATTCTCTTTGAATTATTGCGAAATAAAAAATAACAATGTAACTTAGGTTTTAAAAACAAACACTGCCATATCTCATCCTGTCGATAAATTTGTGTACCTTGCTTTCTTCACATCTTAAAACAGACCGATTATCTCGGCCCTTCTGTACAGCGACTCGCCTACATTGTGGTATGTATACAATAGATTAGATTATTGGCTACAGATAGGAATCGAAAAAATATTCTACCTCCACCACAGGATACCAACTTTCGTCCTTATTTTCTTGTTAGTTTCCAATGCGTTTAGTTCTTGTCCGTTGTATTTAATGTTGTGGTTACTCCTTAATAGTGTTCATAAAAAAATGCGTCGCGGTTTCATTGTTATCGTCTCATTCGGAATTTTTTTCTTCATCACCTACACGTTATTACAAAATAGAGGAAATCATATAGTTTCAAAATCATTTCGAACAACTTCACACAATAATCGATCTATTTTAAAAAATCTCTTCGATTTAAACATCAAGAATAACTCGATATTCTTTCTGGACACTTCCCTTAAAGATTATCAAAACGAATTAGTCACCATACATCGTCGAGTATCTTGCGCCGTGGAATCAGCAGCTTTACATCATCGAAATCGATCGATTTATTACGTTTACGTTGGGAGATATCACGAAGCTACGATGGATATTAATGATATTAATTTTGAGCCGATTTTAACCTACGAAAACGTTCAGGTTGTTTACGTAAATATCGAAGATTTGGTTGAAAATACGGAAATTGAAGGATTATTTAAGAAAGGTTTAATTGAAACGTCGAATTATTACGTCGAACATTTCAAAGATGCCTTTTGTGTAATCCTTTTAAGGAATTACGGTGGAATTTATTTGGACAGTGATGTGATAATATTAAAATCTCTAAATGAATTAGGGGAAAATTTCGTTGGGAAAGAATCCGAACAAGTGTTAGGAACCGCAATTTTGGCATTCAACCAAAGTGGTCATCACTTTTTAACCACGCTTTTAGAAGATCTCAATGTAAATTATAACCCAAAATCGTGGGGTGGAAATGGACCATATCTATTTACTAGGTATTTAGGTTTAATTTAAGTTAAAAACGAGTGCTACAAATAAATTTATTATTTATTTTAGAGGGGTGAAAAAATTGTGTGGGACAACATCGAATTTTTCTGGCAATAAATGCGACTATTTAAAAATCTTTTCGAAAAATTTCTTTTTTCCGGTTTATTATGAGGATTGGAGGCATCTCTTCGATCCGAATTATGTCGAAGAAATCCTGGAAATAACCAAAAGTAGCTATATGATTCATTTTTGGAATAAATTGAGTCATAATTGGATATTAGACGTTAAATCGAACGCTTCTTATGTAATTTTAGCGAAAACACATTGTCCGAATACGTTTCTTATGCAAAATAAATCATTTTAATTTTTTAAGTAATTCTATTTTCTTTTATACTCATATTTTCTGGATATAATCATTCTTTAATTAAATTAAGCAAACTTAATTTGAATCGAAATAATATCCTAATGATATTCCAGAGATGACAAAGAAATGGACGAAGTTATGAAACTCATGAGATTTTAGGAGATGTTGAAAGAAGTTTTTTCGAAAAGAAAGTCAAAGTGTATCGCAAAGACATTAAACTTTATTTCCTATTACATATTCCTCTAAAGCAACATTACAAGTTTTTCCCAGTTCCACAAATTATATTATCAATAAGACAATAAGTACATAACCTTATTGATGAAATATTTCAAGACTACAGCAAAACGTTATCTTTTGGGAGCCTGTAATAAAGATATCAACATGGTAACTCCTTGCGAGTATCGTTTATAGCGACACCAATACCATGGAACTGGATGTAACCATATACTGTCAATAATATGACTAGTTACTAATCTGGAACGTGTAATAACTCAAAGTGGAGGGAAGAAAAACTACAGAATAATACATGGAAACCAAATGATTCAAATTCTACGTAAAAAGTACTGTCTCAATACGAAAACAAGAATATCAAATGAGGCAAAATCCAATGATCTCAACTAAATAACTCTAAGAATGAATTGCGTGAGATGCAATAGCAGCTCAAAAGATTAACCCTTTGACGTACGTCTTGAGTAGTTAGAATATAATGAGATTTGCCTAAATACGTCTTAATAATATATTACTTGTCTTAGATATACAGGGTGGTATTACATATTATACAGGATGAGATTGATGTCTGACAGTCTGTTCTGTTACATTGCCCCCTCCCTACAACCATTTCGTCCCGAAATGATCTTTTGGGTTCGCTGTGGCGGAATCTAAAGGATGATCTGTCTCTACATTGTGACGTCTAATAGAAGCATCGCTTATAGTTTCGATTCAGGAACTGCTCGTACAAAAGGTGCACTGGCATTTCTTGCAGGCTCTTACTTCCAGCTTCTCGATGGTCTCCAGCAAATGGTGCTTGGCGATTGAAGTGAATTACCCTTGGTTTTCCACGTGGTAACTTCTGGATTCGGTAGACAACATCATTAATTCGGTCCATGATGGTGTATGGACCTTCCCACGAGTTTTAAAGCTTCGGTGAATAACCACGGCGTCTCTGCGGATTGTACAACCAAACTTAGTTTCCTGATTGGAATCCACCTTCAGTAGCCTTAACATCATAGGTTTGCTTCATTCTATCGCTAGCGGTCTGGATGTTTAGACGCACCCGTTCGTGGATATCATCCAACCGTTGGCGCAGCTTGCTTACATAATCCTCTCCGAGAATATCCTGCCCTGGTGGACACCCAAACATCAAGTCGCGATATTACTCGCGACCTATAACGATGCTAGCTGGCGTCTGTCCTGTTGATGCATGTACTGCAGATCTATATGCCAGCAGGAACAAATAGAGATGTTTATCCCAGTCTCGTTGATGGTTAGATACGACCTTGGCTAGATGTCGATTGATTCATCCGCTCTACCATTCCGTCAAACTGTGGGTGGAGTGCTGTCGTTCTTATCTTTTTGATGTTTAGAATCCCACAGACATTTTGGAAGAGCGCCGACTCGCAATTTCGACCTTGGTCGGAGTGTAACTCCAGAGATACACCGAATCTGCAGATCCAGTCCTTAACGAAAGCATCCGCTATCGTTGCGGCTTCCTGGTTTGGTAAGGCATAAGCTTCTTTGTATAAGCTTCCATGTATTTATTGCCTCCGTTAGTCTCGGGGAATGGTCCAGCGACGTCACTGGTAATTCGATCGAATGAGCTCCCGACGTTATATTGTCGCATTGGTGCTTTTCCGAGTCTCTGCGGCCCATGACTTGCCACACACGTCACACACTTCCTGCACCAATCTTTAACGTCATCCTTGCAATTCGCCCAATAAAACCTCTCTCTTAACTTGTTAAGAGTCTTAGTTATGCCCATGTGACCTTCAGTGACTCCATTATAAATTTCCGTTAGAACTTCCGGAACTCTGCAACGAGGAATAACAATCTGATTCCTCTCATCGCCACCATCTACATCTTCAAGTCATCGTTGCAAAAGTCCGCCAGTCAGGACCAAAGAATTCCATTGCGCCCAGTATGTCTTACAAGCGGTGAGTACTTAGCAACCTCATCCCAAGTTGGTCTCCGGTCCTGCCTTTTCCATTCGATAATCAATTTTAGGACATGGTCTTCTTGATAGGGATCAGCGTTGCAATGTACTCGGCCCGCTCGGTGCTCTATATCAAAGTCGAACTCTTGGAGTCTCTCAATCCATCTCGCAACCTGACCTTCGGGATTTTTGAACTGGAGCAGCCATGTTAGTGTAGCGTGGTCTGTCTTTTGCAGGAATTTGCGACCATAAAGATATTTGTAGAAATGTTCTACTGCCTTTATAACCGCCAAGAGTTCTCTCCGTGTTACACAGTAGTTGCGTTCAGGTTTCGATAGAGTCTTGCTGAAGTATCCTATCACCTTTTCTTGACCATCTTGGATTTGGGATAAGACCCCCGCCAGGCCTACATTGCTAGCATCCGTGTCCAGTATAAACTTACCATCTGGCAATGGGTAGCTCAATATTGGGGCGGTGGTTAGTGTACCTTTGAGGTGTTCGAATGCTTCTTTTTTAAAATCTAAATACAAAAATCTTCGTTTTAGCGATGTCCATATACAGGTTCGGCATTGAAATTTTCTTTTTTCAATGAAACGTTGTGACATGACTGGAGGTACAACACGTTGCAGCGCGGTAGAATTCTTAGCGAAGAACATTGGTGGGGGATTTTGTTTGTCAAAATGCTTTGGGTGAGAGGGCGTTGACAATAGAAACCTACTTTTATACGTTTTGAGCGTGAAAGTCACTGAAAACTTTTGTTGATATATCCGTCTAGAGCAGTGAAAGTGTTAAACGTTCGTCTAAGGATCGTCTTTATCTTATTCAACTTATTAATGTTGTTCACTACACTGTATCTGTTGGCACTCTTGTAATATTTAGCATTATTATTGTCTATTTGTTCTATCTAAGCACAAGCACTATTCTGTAACGTTTATCTATATCTGTTGGAATATCTTTCCATGCATTAACTATCCATTCACACATAACAGCAATAATCTCCCTTGGTATAAGTTTCTCTCCCTCTAACATCCACCTATTCAGCTTCCGTTAATTTTCTTTAAATAATTATGCAAACATCTAAAGGTTGTAGTAAAGTTGAATAACAGCAATATGATTGTTACACTGTCTTAAATTTTCGCTTGTTTCAGACATGTTCTGCTCACAACTCAATGCCTTTTTCATCTCTTTTCATGAACATGAAGAAAATTTTAATTTCAATAAAGTTTTCCTATTAAAAAATCACGTAACTGTTTTAGTACTTTACTCGTCAATTGTTGTATTGCCAATCATGTCCGTTGTTATGATCGTTTCGTCGATATTGCCAGTATGGGACAATAAATAATTTTATTTTCTATTCTGAAGAACAAATTTTCGGAGGTTTCGTAAATTTTCCTCCGAATTCTCTGCCAGCTTTTGTAAAATGTTTGTTGTTTCTTGAAGCACTAAGTTGTAACGATTAATAAATCTTCCGCGCCACCTTAAAGATAAATTGAAATTAACATTTCTTCTTTGTTACATTTTGCACATTTTAGTACAAATAAATGAATGGAATTTCTTGTTACAATTAATCCATTTTGACGGCTTTTTAAAATCCACTTTTTAACATGTAGGTCAGATCCAACAAAAAAAAAGCTGAATTAGTTGCCTAACATCTAGCTAATGTATTTTAACTGAAACTATGCAGTCTACAGTGAATATAACACTTGTTTATCAAAAAAAAAAAAAAACTATGAAGCTGGTTTTACCAATGAAAGTTGCCCTAGAAATCGATAAAAACATTAACTATAAGAAAAGGTTCTTTCAGCTTCCGCCGTATTAAAAAAGATCCAAGAAAAACAATCATCAAGTTGACAAACCTGTTTAGTTCCTACTTAAGAGTGAACAAATGTTTTAAAAATTGTTTCAACATACCAGATTTCTAGTTTAGATTTCCTAACCACCATTCTACTATAGATCAAGTGCATAGATTGACAATCAGTAGTGAGAATGCATTTGATAAGCAAAAATATTATCCGGCAGTTTTCCTAGACGTTTCACACCAGAAATTTGTCTACAAGTTGTGGCAAAAAGCTACCCCTGAACTACTGACAAAAACTGGAATCATATCTTTCTGAAAGAGAGTTAAGAGTGGCACATGAAGAGGCATACTCAATATTTAAACCGATCTTGACCGGAGTTCCACAAGACAGTGTCTTAGGACTGCATTAGGCCATATTTATGTACTGTTACCGAAGATATTTCAATTCCAAAAGATCCTGTACAGGTGTCCCAAATTGGATGTCCGCATAGGCTATCTCCGAAGCTAAAAGAAATAGAAAAGAAGTAGTTCATGATCGCATCATCGGAAGGTTAATAGAGAAGAGAATATCTAAAATATGTATTTTTAAAATTAAATAAATTGACGTAATTCGAACATACTCGAATACATACTCGAACTTTTTATAAAGATGGTTTTATAAAAAGACCGAAATCGGTAGAATTAAAAAAGTAACATATCCATTTTATAAAAAGTACAAAAAGAAAAACATAGATTTTTATTGTAATTGATAAAAATGGAAAGAAATATTAACTTCAACGAAGGAAATAAAACTGACCTATCGTAACATTCCTTCACGGTATAATTGGGGTTTCTTCACGCTATAATTGGGGTTTCAAAAACAAACTGACCTATTATAACGTTTCCAATATTTTTGTCAGGGTTGACTGACATTTGTAAACAAAACTAACCAACTCAACAAGTCATTGACAGTTAAAAAAATGCTGTTACTATTCTAGTTCGGGTAAAACAATCTCAAGAATGTTGTGTACAAAACTAAACTGAATCGCTTGACGACTTAAAAACTAAAATTAGAAGAGAATGTGCTGACATTAATCAAGAAACAATTATTTGAGTCCAGCATGAATTCATCGATCGTTTGGGATATTGCCAGGCACAAGAAGGGTTTCAGTTTCAACATTGCGGTGGATAGATAATATTGCAGTGAATCTACGAACCCTAAATATCGCACGACCAGAGGAACTAATGTCGGACTACAGTAAATGAAGACAAATTGCAAAGTCAACAAAGACCCATCCCGGGTTATAATAATAATAATACGAAGAGAGAGAGTTATTTGGATTAACACATATCATCAAGGAGTGGTGCTTGATCTGGAAAGCTCCATTTTTCACGAAATCGTTTTTCCGAGTCTATCCAAATCTCTTCATTAAGTGTTGGCATTACTAATAATTTTATTGCCAAAAGGGCTTACTACTGCATCTGTTCTTTAAGATTATCTTTCAAAAAAAGAGAGTCAAGACCTTGTAAAATATGGGTTACAGTGTAAAGAATTTTCCTGTTCAGGGTCAAATTCAAATAAAATCACAAGCATGGGACAACAGAAACAATGATGGTCTTCTAAACACTATGGAGAAAAAGTCCATTTAGTTATTTCATAATCATCATCAATCAACAAAGCAGCCTAAAAGTTTGCCAAAAAGTTGGAAAGATAAACCGAAAAAGTAAAAAGCATAAAATTAAACAAGCATCAGTTTCAAGAATTGATGAGGATGAATTTAATTAAAGACAGAACTTTTTTTAATTTCATCATTAATGTGATGTTATCACATATCATCCATTGACAATTGAGAATTAAATAGGTAATTAATTACATATACAATAAAAAAGTTCAGGACCGTACTTTATAATAAAATTTAAATAATCACAATAATTTACATAACACACCGGAACTGTGGTATTAACTCCTTGACCCAATCCTGCTGCACTCGACTTTATGCCAATACAATTTTCTCGAGGTTCTCCCTTCCAATTCAAAAACACGTTTAGACACAATAAACGTGGTTGTCTTCTTTTACTATTTAGTAAGCGAAAAGTGTCTCCGCCACAACATAATTGTGTTTGTGTTCAAACTGTAAACCATGAGATCACCATATATTGTAATATTTTTCTTTTCCTGTTTTCTACTTGGATTATTAAAAAAATCTTACGTTAAAGGTAACGAAAATCTTTTTTATTTTAACTTTTTCTAAATAGATTATTTAAGATCATAAATCTTTTTAAAACGGATCATTAGGATCTATTATTGTAGATTATATCTTGTATAATAAGAATTATTTAAACGCCCGAAGCATTTTAATTACAAATTAATTGTTATGTGTCAACAATAAAAAAACCATTCTCTTTCTAGCTGAAAATAATCTAGAAAAGGATTTCAAATTGATTTGTTACGCGGCAACTTATGCCTCGGGTCGACCCGGAAGAGGTGGTTTCTATTTAAGCAATTTAAATCCCGGATTATGTACCCACGTTATTTTCGGATACGCACATTTAAAAATGGATACATCAATTTATTTCTTACGTAATTAAAAAATTTATTGTATAATTATTAGATTAATAATTTGATGATTTTGTGTGTAGCCAATTGGAATGATTTTATGAACGGAACTGAAAGTTTGACCGAATTAAAACAGAGTTATCCATCCGTGAAGTTTATGGTTGCTTTAGGTGGTTGGTCAGAACGAACCGATAAATTTTCGAAAATCGCTGCCAAAAGTGAATTGAGAAAAAGCTTAGCTGAAAATGCGGTGAATTTTTTAAAGTAATTAAAATAAAATTCGTTTGTACAAGGTTATTTGGAATTACATGGAGAAACGTTGCAAATTACTAAATATTTTTAAAGTGTATGCGTTACATTTTTATAAAATGAGGTTACATTACTTTATATAGAAAAAATTTGTTTGTTTGTTTTTTCACAGCTGACACATTTTTCAATAATTTCGACAATTTTACCGCAAAACTAGCCTTTACGTCAATTTCGATAACAATTGATTCGTCGTAGAATGAATCAAAGATTCTTAAAAAAAATATTGTGCAGTTTTCTAAAAGATCAAGCCCAGTGATGTGATAACTATATCATTTTATGATATAGTTATATTCTTTAATCATCAAAAATGAAGAACATAATTTTATACGTTGTGACTTAATTTTATTTTATTTTTTTGTTGTTTATAGTAACGGAAAAATATAATATAATGTGTTATATAAAAAAAGGAAAACTTGATAATATTTACATAACAAAATAACGCGACAAATATTCCCCACTCCTGAGAAAAAATATTATGCATTTAAATGAAACATTTTAAATTGTTTTTTCTTTTAGTTTGTTGCATATATGAATTATTTAAAAGAAAAGCAGGTTTCAGACTGTCAACACTAATGAATTGTTGTAATGAATTGTAACTTTTTAATAACTTTAAATGATCCTTCATACCTTGCAGAGAGACAAAATTTTTTCCCTTCTATCCGGACAAAAACAAAATCTGATTTCTCTAAATCGTTACTAATCAGGATACGTATCAATTGAACTGTGAGAGTTTACCTGGGAGTTTCAATGTCTCAAGGGTTGACCATAAAATAACTCAGCAAATGAACAACCTAAATGTTTTTTTTATGGTTGAACGTAAACCACGAAGGATAATATTACCAATTAACGCAGTCTTTAAAGCAGTTCTATGAAATCTTTTGACTATACTATTGCTTTGAGAATGGTATGAATGATTAGTTCAAATTGTAGGCCTTGACCGTATGTTATTGAGTGTGGAATTCCAAAACGTGAATGTAAAATACGTGTAGTATACAGAACGTGAAGTAGTGAACGTAAAGTGTTGTAGCAATTGATGCAAATATTGATGAAAGAGAAAAGCTAAATCTTTCAATTATTATTAAAATACAAGAACAACCACCAGAAGGAAGAAGGGGACCTACAATATCAATGTGAATATGTTCAAAACGACCTTTAGGAATATCATTCTTCATAATGGGAGATTTTGTCATGATTTTGTCCAAACAAATATATTGGAATTCATATTAGGCCAAAATATCTTGTATTGATTAATTTTTTTAGAAACTTTTATACCTGGATGAGAAATACTATACAGGGTGAATCAGAAAGAATGGGAAATCCGAATACCGAAGATACTAGACACCAAAATATGATGATTTAATGTTTACTTAATGTTTAATGATGATACAAATGTCAGTGGTTTTCGAGACATAGGGTGTTGAAAGTTACATTTTTATTTCGAAATTTCTTAATAATTTTGAAGGTTTTTGTACTATTAACATAAAATTTGGTAGTTTTATGTTTTCGAGCATGAGAAATACGAATTTGAAACTTGTTTTGTTATTGCTCGTAGAGGGCGCTAGATACACGCTGCTCGTTTGATAAATCAAATCATAAGTTTTTGGCTCGATAGCTACGACCAATAAGAGATTATTTAAACTGTCTAAGTTTATCGGTTTTCGAATTATTTACTTTTAAATGTTTAAATGTATTTTTTCTTCTAAAATATTTATTTTTTAACATAAGCAAAGTTGGGTTATTTTTCCGCTTATGTTTCAACAATTGCCTGTTAATTGTCAACATTGATGTAATTTCCGTGTGCAATAATCATTTTTACCAACAATAAAGTTATTACCAATTTGAGAATGCCACGACGAGTTTTTTAATAGTGAGAAATCCAGATTTAAGTCCACTGGATTTTTGAAAATGGTCACAATATTCTATTGTTATTAATTAATTGTTATTGTTATCGATTATTATCGTTACTAATTGCTATAGTTACTGTGTTATTGATTTTAAATGATAACCTTAAAATTACTTTGAAACAATTAAAAGCAGATAACTTGGAAACCAGTGTAAGCAAGAGTACCTTTTTTGTGCAGAATTGAAAACTCCTTCAGATTTCTGGTTCTAATTCACCATACCTCAACTGACAAAATAGTCATGACTTGATATCTCAAATGTACAGTGTGTATCTAGCGCCCTCTACAAGTAATCACAAAATAAATATCAAATTCGTATTTCTCATGTTCGAAAACATTTAACTACCAAATTTTATGTTAATAGTACAAAACCTTCAAAATTATCAAGAAATTTCGAAATAAAAATTTTACTTTCAACACCCTGTGTATTAAAAACCACCGACATTTGTATAAGACATGTTAGGTTAAATCGTCATATTTTGGTGTCTAGTGTTTCCGGTATTCGGATTTCCCATTCTTTCTGACTCACCCTGTATAAACCATCGAAAATCGAGTGACAAAATTTATCTAGAATATAAATACATACGTTGATAGGAAGAGCAAGAAATTTCACACCAAATTGGAATAGTATCAGAAAATTGTTTGTTGTTTTAGACGAAATTTAGAATTAGGTTTAGTTCGTAAAACTCAAAAGAATCTAATTCTTGTCTAACCTTGATAGAACATTGAAAACAATATTATTTTCACCCTTAATGTAAGCAATATCTGTTGAGAACTGTGGTATAAAATTTATACAGGGTGTTTCGGTGACTCGGGGAACAAATGTAACCACATGTACTAAAGTGAAAATGATGACGATTCATGTAAAAAAAATTAGTAAAAGTCCTCAAATTGCAAAGATACAGGCCATCAAAGTTAGGAAATTTTAACACATTTTTCTAAATATCTTAAACACTATTTATGGTAAAGCGTTGAAATTTGGTACAGTGTAAACTAATATCAC